GAAATCAGGTTGTTTACATCATAATCTGTGTGGATTTTCTGTCTGTTCCCCACCTGCACTTCTGGCTCCCACCCTTACTACCAAAGGGCTGTTAAATCAATGCTGCTCTTGGCCATTTTCAAGTTGGGGAGATGTGGGAAGTGTGGGTGTGGAGGATGGATTGCTCTCAGTGACTCTGCAAAATCGAAATGGGAACATTGGTTAATAAAACATAAAGAATTCCTTTGAAATTTTCCAAACCATTGTCTCTCGATTTCCACTTGAGTGTGGCTGGATGTGTGTGACAGCTGGGGATGGGAGATGACTTTTCTATGGCGTCTAAAGGAGCATGAAAACCCTGTAAGGTGACTTACGGACCACATTATCTCCGGCTTTGTAGGTTTATTTTACTTAGCTGAGAAGGTCAATTGGTTATCAGTGCTAGAGGGAGCAATCTTCCTTTTGCGTATAGATTAGAGTTAACACATTGGAATTGCGAGCAGGGGAGGCTGAAGAGGTTGCTCAGCAGTTAAGAACCCTTGCTGTTCTTCCAGAGCGCCAGAGTTCACTTCCCAGCACCCACATCTGGAGGCTCACAACTGCCCATAATTCAGGATCCAACACCCTCTTCTAGATTCTCAGGGCGCACACAGAGATATAAAAAAAAACCCTAGAAATTTAGAATGTTAAATTTAGGGGACTTTTTGAAGCTTGTTCAGCTGAGCTGAAGCTTTAAATATGGGAACTGGTCCTTCCAGCTTCTAGCCTGGAGTTCTCTTCGGTAATTCCTCACCTGGAGGATCATGAAATGTGGTGATATATTATATAACCCAATATATTGTGTACCCTAATAAACTTATCTGGTGGTCAGAGGGCAGAACCAACCACTAAATTAGATAAAGAGGCCAGACAGTGGTGGCACACACCTTTAATCCTATTACTCAGGAGACAGAGATCTGTCTGGATCTCTGTGAGTTCAAGACCACACTGGGAACAAAGTCTGGCAGCGGCGGCACACAACTTTAATCCCAGCACTTGAGATCTCACATCTTTGCTTGAAAAGCACACACACCTTTAATCCCAGGAAGCGACATGGCTGCGTGGAGAATGGTATATAAGGATTGAGGAGACAGGAACTAAGCAGCAGTTCAACTGAGACCCTCATGGGTGAGGACTCAGAGGCTTTCAGTCTGAGGATTCGCAGAAACAGGATCGGCTGAGGAGTTGGTGAGGTGAGGTTGGCTGTGGCTTGTTCTGTTTCTCTGATCTTTCAGCTTCACTCCAATATCTGGCTCTGGATTTTTTATTAATACGACCATTTAGCAATTTGGGTTACAGTGAAAGGTTCTTAGAGACTTTCCGTCCATTACTATTAGCCTTAGACTAGCATCAAATAAGCAATTTCAATTTCTGGTTGCCGCAGATGGAAAGTGGAGCAGAGACGTGGAGGTCACACAGACGGTATCCCGAACCTCGGTTGTGACATCTCTTCAGCTTTGCAATGGGTCAAGTCACTAGACATCTTTGAGTGCGTTCATGTATCCAAGTCACTCAAAAGACGGTTGTCACAATGAGACTTGTGCATTAGAACACGCCAGCAGGAGCTTGGATGCTGGGTAGGCGTCATTAAACCCAGGAGCTAGTTCCTATTCTCATAGACTGAGCTCAGGAGACTACACGAGAATGAATTGTCAATGATAAAACCCTGGCTTGGGGGTGGAGCACATGGCTGGCAAGCCTTTCAGAGAAGTTGTATCAAAATGCAGGCATGAGCAACATTTAGGAGCTGTCAGGCAGGAGAAATAAGGAGTACCATGACCTTCTTTCCTATAAACTGGGACACTGCATCCTTCTCTTCCTCGCTGGATTACAGCAAGATGCAGACAGTGACAGAGACACACTGGGGATGTGTCTGACAGTCCCATGTAGGTCAGGTAAGATGAGCTGGAAAGTACCACCCTAGGCAATGGGTTCAAAAGCATGTAAGATGCGGTCCACATATTCCTGAGCCCGAGAGGCCAGAGACCTGCCTGTAGACCCCATGTGCTTCTGTCACAGTTCTTGTTCCATGGACTGGCACGTGGTGCTTGCTTATGTGTCTGAAATTCAAAACCATCAATGTAGGGAGCTGGGCTGCTTCTCTTCTACTCAACGTGGACTCCTCAGTGCACAGCAGTTCCTAATGCCAGGGAGCCTTTATTCCCCGTTTTTCTGCCATCGATGCGGTAGGCATCTGGCTGTATCTTCCTGGCCTGACCTCTGTTTATTCCTGCCAGACTTGCCAACTGTCAGCACCGCGATAGCCTTTGCCTGAAGGCTTTGTCTGGCTGCTGAGCCTCTCTCAACACTCAGAGGAGGGAGGCTGTAGATGCTGAGAACTGAGCCTCATCCACAGCTGCTGTCACTGGTGCCACACAGCAAGTATGGATTAGTACATCATAGGCCTGGTGTTTTGGGAGAGAAAAGTATTGTGAACTAGACTTCTTCCTAGAGAGAAGATGGAGGCTCACAGGACTCAAGAATCTAACGACACTTAAAGGCTCAAGAAGCCAATGCAACTGGCCTGGCAGTGGTGGCGCATGCCTTTAATCCCAGCACCCTGGAGTCAGGGGCAGGCTAATTTCTGAGTTCGAGGCCAGCCTGGTCTACAGAGTGAATTCCAGGACACCCAGGGGCATACGGAGAAACCCTGTCTCAAAACAACAAAAAAACAAACAAAAAAGAAGCCAATGCAACTTAGGAATCTCAGACAGTGACAAGATTCATAAGATCACTCTCCATGTCATTAAAGCCATGATCTTTCTTAGGAAGGAGACTCTCCCATCAGCCACAAGTTGCTCAGGAGGCCCCAGGGATATGGCTTGCTTGCATTTTCACCATGGGGTTGGTGTTTTAGTGATGCAGCTGACTACTTCTGAGTCACACATGTTCCTTTAATTCACTCCAATAAGTTTGCTAGTTCACCAGCCTACACCTGAGTGGAATGACTTCCTTGTTCTGTTGTCCGTGATCTATCTGGGATGAACAAAAATGTGTTTGTCTCCCCAGGAGAAGTCATATAGCAACTCTGAGAAATGGACTCCTGGGTCTCCCTGGTGGTATCCAAGCCCTCCCCTCTTAGGGAAAACTCCCTTGATAATTTGTCATCAGTTTCTCTTATCTTACTTCTTTACCAATGATTCTTGGAGTTCTCCCTCCTCCCAAACAAGCCACCCACACTGGACACTTTGTCTCAGGTTCACTCCAACTAAAATATCCATTGAGCATCTATTCCCCTGCTCTATGTATAGGGAATGTTGCTCCCTTTATAAGACTGAAAATAACAGTTTCTCTGGCATCTCTTGCTTCTACGTTTGGTACACAATCTGTACTGGGACAATAAGATATAGCCATCCCAGCCTCTAAATTGGAAGTTTATATCAGAAAAAGGGAAGCAGTGACCAGAGATACTTTCATGGACAGACAGTAGTAGACGACTTGCGTGGCAGCTTCTGGAACCTAACATCAGTGGCACCCATGGTGAAACCTTAACAAGCAATCATGGATGTGATGTTGACTTCGTGGAAAATTTTGCTTTGATTTGTTTTGAGGGCAATTCCTTTCCCACCTCTGGGACTGGTTCTTCGATCTCTTCAGTGTCTTTTCTAATAAATCTCTTTTCTGTAAAATACCAGTGTTAGATTTTATAGCTTGTGACGGAGAATGCTGTTTGTGTCCATCAGGATCTAGCCAAGAAAATAACTCTGGGGGTCTTTTAAACAGATGGAATTTAACACAGATAGTTGGTTAAAGGGGTGATGGAAAATCTGAGAAACCAAACAAGAAGCAATGAGGTGACCAGGGAAGAGGAACGTCTGGAAGATGCTGCCTGACTTCTCCCACGGCCAGAGCAACAGCGAAAAAAACGCACCATAGAAGCCACTGTCTGAGAGGAGCTGTCTGGACAGACCAATCAGTTGGGTTGGGAGCAGAAAAAAAAGTCAGAAATGGATCTGAAAGCCAACAGACACATGGAACAGGAGCACAAATACTTTTTGGCTAGATGCATGAGAAGAGTCAGGGAGAAGGCAGGATCCCAAACCTTACAGAAACTCTTTAAGGATTTCTTCTAAGATCCAGAGAGATCTGAGGGAAAACAAGGAAGGCCAATCTCCTGGAAGCCTCAGCTCAAAAGCAAGCAACTCTGCCAGAATCCTCAGCGGATTTCCAGCAACTGGACCTCTGAATTATTCACTGAATCTAGACAGGAGACCCCGAGCATTCATCCATGAGCTTTGGGTATCCATAGCTTCCACTCCAGACTATTCCCTGGGTAGCGTGGCTTCTAAAGTAAGGATAACAATGCTTGCTGATTTTTGGTAGGCAAGGTGAGAAGCAATGAATAAGATGTTTAAATACTTGGCAAAACAGAAAAATGTGCTACAGCGGGGTCTTAATTGACAAACTAGAGATAAGTGTGTTTACTCTCTTTTTTTGAATTTACAGACTCCATGGTATAGCTTACAGGCACAAGTGAGATGTATTGCTATGTTAGTGGCATCCCTGCTGTACTGTGAAAAAAAAAAGGTCTGGGTTTAGAGTTTTTCAAAAGAAGCAAGGTATAGATTTTTTAAAAACATAACATAGACTTCTTTTCTATTCTTATTTCTCTAGCTCATATAACTTTTAACTGGGAAATCAACATTGCATTATTATATTACCATAATGCTCTAAAATACACATACTTTGTAGAATGTCTCAAACAAGCTGACTACATGAAACACTTATCATTGTGGTGGTAACACAACTTCCTCTCTCCTGTGCAGATACACGGAGGAAGGTTGTTACCAGTAGTCACCGTGCTGGACAATAGATCTCTTGAACTTACTCCTTCTGTTTGAAATTTTATATCCTTTGGCCAAGATGCCTTCAGTCCCTCCCACTCCCAGGCCTTGCTAGTTACCATTGCAGTATCTGTTCCTGCGAGTCTAACTTTTTAAAATTCCTCTTGTAAGTGAGATCATGTGGTATTTGTTTTTCAGTGCCTGGCTTCTTTGGCTCAGCATAATGTCACTCATGTGATGGCAAACAACAGGAGTTCCTTCTGTTTTTAAGACTGAATAGTACGCTGGTATGTGTGTATAATATATATATATATATAATATCACATACATATATACATAGATATATATGTGTATGTATATATACATTCCACATTTTTTGTCCGTTCATGAATGGACACTTACAATGAGCTTACCTCTTGGCTATTGGAAACAGTATTGTAATGCATGCAAAAGTGAAGATATCAAAAATAGCATCAATTTAAGATTCAGGAAGGTCTCAGGCTAACATAGCGGCTCTGTTGTGCATTCATCTTGTATTTTACCCATATTGTAAACTGCTTTCTAGTTTCTTGTTTAAAACTGGTACCATAATATAATTCCTTGCTTAGAATCCTGAGAGCTTGCTATGATTCCATGGTCAAAGGCTCTAGCATGATACCCAGCACATTAATTCCCGTCTTCAGTTGGCGTTCTTTCTCCCATAGGTCTAACCTGGGGGAGAACATTGTGAATATAAACTGAAATGTATCTCTGCGGGGAGGCTATTGTGAATTTGGTCCTATGGAGAAATGTTCGAAGGAATTAAACCCAAAACTCAGAGTCCTGAGTTTTGGAAACATCAAAATCTATGGAATTAAGTATATATGGCCATTTGCTCTGGATTTTAGACGATGACAAAGAAGCTCATTTTGCTGCTTCTGAGGCCTTTACTTGCCCCAGATGCTATAAAAATGTGTGTTGTCTGACAGTTGATGGGATCTTGTTCTCAGATAGCTTTTGAGGTGTTTCTGGGACCCAAACAAGGCATCCCTCAGCTTGGGTACTGTTTCTTTTGGACACCATAAGAAATACAATCGTCTCAAGGACCTGCAATAAAGACCTGCACCCTTGCTATATGTCAGCAGCAGCCTGACGTTGCTAAGTTACCAGGAAAGCACAGGGCCTCTAGGCCATCTGGTTTCTGGAGCAGCCGTCTCCAGCTCAGCTGTTGAAATTATTGCACCTTTACTGAAATACAAACACATCTGTGCCCCAGGCAGGAAAATGCTTCACGATGTGACTTCCTCCATGTTGGTTAGTATTAATTCAGCATGAATGGGGACTATCTAAGAATTGAGACTCCCCACTGAGGAAGACTCACAGATGGAGAAGAGAACTAACATCTCACACTCACAGTCAATGGGGTGTTCACTACTGGACTTATCTTTAGAATGTCATGTGATGCTCAGGTAGAATTAGACCAGCCTTCAGCTCAGTCTTTACAAGGACAACCTGCACTGTTTATCTCATTCTTCCATTACATTTTTTTAATTTTTAATTTTTTGGCAGCTCCCCTCTTATCCACTTAATTTCCCCAAACAGTAGGGATATGTATTCCTTTACAGGTCACCTGCTTTTAACAGGTGGGCTTCTAATGTGGTTTCCTGTTGTAGAAGATAGAATTTCCACTCAAAATTTATTCTTTTCATTCACAAGTAAATGCAATATAATCCTATGAATCAGAGCTTTTTGAAAAAAGAAAGAAAGAAAAGGGAAACTAAAGAAAGTTCCCCCTTCTTTCTAACTAGGAGGCTGGGGTGCTCAGAATGAGAGTGTGCCTATAGGCTCAGGCATTTGAACACTTAGTCCCCAGTGGCAGCACCGTCTGGGGAGCTTGTGGAACCTTTGGCGGGTAATAGAGACTTGGTGGGGGAGGTTTGTCACTGGGGGCAAGCTTTAAGGGTTTGTAGCCTCGCTGGTTTTCAGCTCACTCTTTATACTTCATGTTGTGGTTAAAGACGTGATCGCGCAGCTTCCTGCTGCCATGAAATTTGCTGCCTCTTCCCCAAGGTCCTGCTGCAACAGATTCTTTTCATTTAAGAAGGATTAATTTTTATCACTCTTAATTATGTGTAGGTATATGCGTCTGCATATGGGTATATTTGTGTGAGTTCAGGTGACCACCAAGACCAGGAGTATTAGATCTTCTGATTCTGAGGTTAGAGAAGGTTGTAAGCTGCCTGAGGTAGGGGCTAGAACTAAACCTGAATCCTCTGGGAATGCGGCAAATGCTCTTAATCACCAAGCCATCTCTCCGGCCCCATTATGGACTCTTAAGCCAAATAAGCTCTTCCTTCGGTTCCCTAGTTTGTGTGGCTTCACCACAGCAACAGAAGAGTAACTGGAGACAGCAGCCTGAAGGTGCCTTTTAGAGACAGAAAAAAACATGCCTTTTAGGATAGAAGGGAGCCATGCTAGAGGCCTGAGGAGCGGCTGAAGGAGGTCAACGCCTCCCTCTGGGTTCCTCCCCGGCAGTACTCACCATGAAGCCCATCAGAATCCCTACAAGAGCAACTGGTCCTCTTCCATGCCTCTTTCCTTACTATTAGTCATTCTTGAAAAAGACAAATAGCCGGAGTTGACCAAATTCTATTATTTCAGGACAAATTCAACACAGTTAGCCATTGATTTCAATAGTCAGCATTCCCCTTTCCAGATGGAATGTACCTCTGCTGTTATGTCTCTTACAGCCCTTTCTCCTTCAGGAATTTTTCCAGTTCGTTTGGCTTCTAACTTTCAAGATTTGCATTATTTCTTAAGATTTATTTTATTTGTAGTGTAGTGTGTGTGTGTGTGTGTGTGTGTGTGTGTGTGTGTGTGTGTGTGTACCTACCTGCAGAGGCCAGAGGAGGGTGTCAAGTTCCCAAGAGCTGGAGTTATTTATATACAGTTGTGAGCCATTTGACGAGGGATTGTGAGCCGCCTTTTGGAGGTGCTCAGACCACATTCAGGTCCTCCACAAGAGCAGCAAGCACTTTTAATCATGGAGCCCTCCTGAGCCCTGAAACCACATTTGATTCTCTTTACAAGGGCTTGAGATTATCTCCATCTTGAAGTAGTCGTACTAGAAAACCCTGTTGTATATAGGAGGCTGAGGCAGGAGGATTCTGAGTTCCAGGTTAGGCTGAGCTAGCTGCATAGTTAGGTCTAAGCCAAAGGAGGCTGAGGCTGTACAGTGATATCTTGGATGACTTTTTTTTAAGTCTGTCTTGTCTATTGACTCAATTCAATCCTCTAGACTGTCTGGATATTCTTATTGTTGATCACTTCCACCCCAAACCTCCAACTATTAAGGAAACATGGTGCTTCCGGATGTGCTGTGTCTTTGACCATGGTTTCTTTTCTTGGGAATCAAGTGTTTGGTTCTCTGTTCTTATCCTAGTGGACCCCTCAGTAGCATTTGGTGTCCTGGATTGTTTTCGGCTTCCAGCAGCTCCCTGGATCTTATTCTGTCTCCAACTGCCTTGGCTCCTCTGGTCCATTCTCCTTTGCTAGGTTCAGCTATTGTCCCGATTTTAAAAGGTCATATAATAAAAAAACCAGAGCCTGGTATTTGGGTGAAAGCTGAAAGATCAAAGAGACAGAGCAAGCCACAGCCACCACATACTACCTCACCAACTCCTCAGCCTGAAAGAGCTCCAGCCAAAAGGGCTTCCTCGGTCAAAAAGTTCCTGTCTCCTCATGCTTTATATTCCTTTCTCCACCCAGACATCACTTTCTTCCTAGTGCTGGGATTAATGGCGAGTGTGTTTCCCAAATACTGGGATTAAAGGTGTGTGCCACCATGGCCTGGCTCTGTTTCTCTCCTAGATTGAGTCAATCTCATGTAGTCCAGGGTGGCTTTGAACTCACAGAGATCCAGACAGATTTCTGCCTCACGAGTGCTAGGATTAAAGGTGTGTGCCACCACTGCCTGGCTTCTATATTTAATCTAGTGGCTTGTTCTGTCCTCTGATCTTCAGGCAAGCTTTATTTGACACACAATATATCACCACATTTGATACACAATATATCACCACACATGTTCCTCTCCTTGACTTCCAACATGAAAATAACTCAGGACCCTGTTCTCATGGCCTCTACTCCTGTCTACCTGGCTTCTTTTTTTTCTGCCCTGTCCGTATAATAATAGTGATGGTTTCCAGATCTGTACTTTTCCTTACGTTTGTTCTCCCACTAGTCACTCCAGCTGTCTATTTCACATCATCCCATGGATGCTCAGCAGATGTCCAACACAGTGTGGCCTGCACACACATCTCCAGTGCCTCCCTCTGCTTTCACCCTCACATACCTTACATTTCACTTTGAAAAATGGAACCAACACCCAGCAATGTTCTTGTTCAAGTGAGGAATCTTTCTTTTCACATTACACATGACATTCATCTATACTCCTGGTTGTAGTTCCCACAGAGGCCTCACCAGTGTTCAGTTCTTTACATTTCCTTGATGACTTCCTTAGCACAGATATCAAGGACATTTGTTTTTATAATCCAGTACAATATATAGCTCTTCATCAGATATCTTTGCTCCCAACCTCATATATAGGAACCACCCCCCTCAAAAAAGCATAAATGGTATCATGTATCATCTTGTCACCCCTTTCCATCTATGGCTTCTAGAAACCTCCATGTTCTGCCCTTGGGCTACTGAAACTTTGTTTGGTTCCTTATAATACAATGCCCTCCATGGCCTTTGACCAGCCCTTCCTCTGGCTGGAATAAGCATCTCTCCCTAGGTGTCACATTCTCATTTAATCTGAAGTGTCATCTCCTCAGAGTGTCCTTCCCCAGACTCCCACACAGATCATCTACTTGGTAATTTTCTTTCCCATCAGTCTACAGTAATTCCACAGATGATCATCATCCCTGTCTGACGCATTTCCTGTTTACTTTTTTGTCTGTCTAGCCCCACCTCTGAACGTCCACTGCATAAGAGCAACAACCTCGTCAGCTACGTCATAGAGCCTGGCATCAGTGTCTGGTTCTAGGAAAGCACTCCATGCCTGCCATTGAATGGACAGATTCGTAGACGGGTAAAATGCACTTGAGAAGCCGTCTGTCAATGAGTTTATTTCTGCAAGTGACAAGGCCAGAAACTAAAAGGAAAAAAGGCTTGCAGAAGGTCAGGTAGGTGCTAGGCTAATCGGCCTTCGGTTGTAAATGTGTTCTTCGCTGTAATGCCCTTGACTCTGTCACACTGGCCCTGTTAAGAGTTTTATTTTGTTTCTACCAGTGTTGTCGGTTCACTGTATCTTAGAGCCAGGGCTGATATTCAGTCTCTCTGGCGTTGCTGCACCTTAGGTTGCTATGGGCAAAGCCAAGAGCGTGGTCTGTGCTGTCACTTGTCAATCATGCCTCAGCTGGGTCCTGAGGCGGTTGTAGAAGCTCTAGCTATGAACACTGAAAACTCAAATTTTTTGCCATTTGACCCATTGAAACTCACAATTCTGTCAAACCGGATATTTGATTGTGGTTAGGCAGAGGGCAATGGTAGAAATCTGTTTTGTTGCTGCTGAAGCAGACAATTTTATAGAGTATTTGTGGTTTGATGGAAACAGCTTTCACTTTGGAAACCTGCCTTTCCATCCACTTCTGTTATCTTAATGAAGACCCCGATACTCAAAGCTTCAACTTTGTCAAACAGTCCACTTTCTAGTTACTTTTTTTAAAAGAAAATTACAGGGATAAGAGGGAGATAAGAGAGGATGTATGGGAGACAAAATGATCAAAATATCTTATACAGATATGAAATTGTCAAATAGCAAAATTAATCAATGGAAAATTAAAAAGTTAAAGATAATGTAACAACAAAAGGGAAAGGAAGGGAAGAAGGAAGGAAGGGAGGGAGGGAGGGAGGGAGGGAGGGAGGGAAGGAAGAAAACCCAGAACTCAGAACTCTCTCTTTCTCTCTTACTTATCACACACCAACAGAGGAGAGAAACCCTGATGGAGTGAGACAGGCCCATGATTAGATCAGATGAGCTCATGACTGCAGAAGCACACTTGCTAAGTTTAAATTCGTGACAAATTCAGAGAGTCGAGTATAAAGGCAGCTCACATGAGTCAGCTGAAAATGAATTGTATATACAGTCATCCGTGATGACTGATTCCTTCAAGTACCTGTTATATGCCAAACTTTTAGAGCAAGTGTCTTGTCATTCACTATACTTTTGAATAGTAATTTTAATTCATTATTTCAATAAAAATATGTTCAGTGGAACCGATACAAAGAATATTTTAAAAATTGAAAGTATCAAGATGCAACAAAGAAAGAGAACTACA